CCTGATGCTACAGCCTTAGCCATTCCACCAAGCTCTATTATTTCATCGATAACCTGAATGAAGTTGGAAAATTGATTGTAATGACACAGTAACAGTGGGAATTGAAGATCACTGATAACTGCATAATAACTCATACCTTTCTCGCTTTGTTATAGATCTCATCCGTTAATGATTCCATCATATATGATCCACCCCAAGGATCAGCAACCTAAAACTTGGATCAGTTGATCAATCCCGAGAATCGGCTCATGGATATGCATCTCGATCAAATGCATCAGGTCAGAATGCGCCGAGGCACGAGTCTTTCACTTGCCGCGTACGGCACGTTTGGGACGAGTTTTACAGAGACACCTCATTCCGTCGTAACACAATGTCCAGAGTGCTGGAGAAAGGAAATCATACCATCGCCACATCCATTCAAGGGAAAAACCACCTAACTTGGGTATTTGCAAGCATATACTATACAACACCACTCCTTCGATGGGTATTTCTTCAACACAATTATAGATACTTTTATGAAATAACTCTAGTGCTTACCTTGCATATACCACTCTCCTCCTGGATGATTATCTGGGTGTTTCGAGCGATTCGAGCAGAGAATTTGGTGGGCAAACCAAGAGCCTCGTCAAAGGAGTTGGTGTGAAGCGATTGGGTTCCACCAAACACCGACGCCATAGCTTCGATGGTTGTTCGTATGATGTTATTGTAAGGATCCTGTTATTGAGCATTTCAGCTAACATCGTCCTGCTACCGTATACCTCTGATACCTGTTCGGTTAGGGACCATCCACTGGTTTGGGAGTGAGTACGTAGCATGAGTGACTTCTTATTTTTTGGATTGAAACGTTCCTTGAGTAGGTTGGCCCACAGGCGACGAGCCGCTCGCATTTTGGCTATTTCCTGAAGTAAGTATTGTAACTGTACTCATCCAAAAATACATCACATAAAAGTAATCATCCTAGATCCATCTCACCATATAGAAGTTCATTGAGATGCCCCAGAAGAAACTGAGACGAGGGGCGAACGCGTCAATCTTGAGCCCTGCGTTGATGCCCGTTTCGCAGTACTGGATGCCGTCTGCTATTGTGAAAGCCATCTCCAAGACTGCGTCAGCACCAGCTTCCTGCAATGAATTTGAGCAACCTTTTTGAATTATCAGTCATAACGGAAAGAAAAGGCTCCAGTGATTCAAGACTGTTGCATACTGAAACCCAAAAATTGGATGTAGCAAAAATCTAGGGACTCGAAACGAGGCCGCAGCCACTCTTGCCTTTTGATGTTCTCAAG